GTCCCCGTCAATATGATTCTATTTAGGCACAGGCTATTTACAAATCTAATCAAGATGAGGTCATCAATACCAGTTAAGCCAGTATAACTGGCATCTTTACAAGATGAGTGACAAGGAGTCATAGGAGAAAAACAGGCAAGAATTGAAGTGGTGTTGCAGTGAGCCAGGGATTGCCCGAGGTTGCTGGTATGTGTGTGGGGAAGAATCCTGCCCATGGGTTTTAGAAGGTGGCTTTGATGATACTTGGTTTCTAATGTATAGCACCTAGATCTGAAAGGCTAGAAATTGTCTTGTTTTAAGGCCCCCATTTGCACAGATCTGTTACGGCAATGCTAGAAGACTCATGAGCAGCCTAGGTGTACACTTGTGGACTTGGCTCTCACTGACCTGGGCAATCAGTGAGGGTAAATCTGTCATGGAGCTAGCTCCTAAACTAGGGTTGTATTTCACAACAGAAATACCTCTTCATAAAGCATGGATCCCCACATGCGGTCCTCTTCCTGCTACCTCACTGCAAAGCCCTGAGGTACTAGTGTATTAAGGGCTTTGATGACCTGCATTATAAGGAACATAAACAGCCGGTGTTCATTTACCTGAGGTTGAATTTGTTGACAAGGCTGTTTCCAGAAGCAAAGGGAAAAGGCTTTCAGATTCTCTTTCTCCTCTCTCTCTCCTCATGATGACAATTATTTGGTTTTGAAAATGTTTTTGGAAGTATTTTAAGGTATTTGCTTTAATCTACCATGATGAAAATTATTCAGCAGACCCATAGGAAGCTCTGTCTCAATGAGTAACATTTTCCAGATAGGAGATTACTACAGCAATGAGTTGCCAAAGACAGCTGAAAAAATGGGTCATGCATTCATGACATTTTGGGACAGGAGCTGCCAAGTTCTCTGCTGTTCACTTTTGTCCTTTCCCGTAAACAAGCTGCATTAACGAGTTACTTTTCAAAAGAGGTCTGATTTCCCCAGTGAGTTACATGGGAAAGAATTCAGGGTTCCCCCCGGAGGACTCCAAAGATTGTTTGTCCTCAGAGCTCAGGTGTGCTGAAGGAGTTGGAGGCTGAAATCACACACTGGATACTGGCCAGTGGGTCCTGAACACTGCCTGCACTCCAGCCTTGATTGCTCAGATTGGTTCATAACTCTGTCTGCCCACTGTAAGGAAAAGAAGGGATGAGAGGAAAGGCCCGGTTTTCAATTTTGGTTTAACTGTACAGTGTGTAGTGTCTAGCAGGAGGAACCTAGGGCGAGATTAATGCTCAAGAGTTTTCCGTTGTGCATGGTAAAGACTTCTGTTTTGACTATCCAAAGTGAGTTTTCAAACTGATTCTCTTGGGGCTTGTGGATGGTGCTTGCCACCAAGCTTGGCACCCCAGTTGGATCCCTGGAATGCACACTGTAGGAGAGACCTGCCTGTCACAAGGCTCTTGACAACACACCGAGATACTTCTCTCCCAACCAATGAACAGATGCCTCTCAAGTGCTAAATTTCTTTGGTAGCAGAGTGGTTTCACAAAGAGGGAGGCAGAAGGATTATCATGAGTTTGAAGGCAGCCTGGGCCACATTAGTGATTTCCAGGCCAGTTTGGGTTGTACAATCAAATTTTATTTCAGAAAAATGAAACAAAGCAGAGGAAAAAAGAAAGAAACTCATAAAACAAAAAACAAAGGGGGGGTGGCTTGGCTTTTCTTTCAGAAATTGGTTAAATTAAAGTTGTCAGATGACTCTTAGAATTGTGTTTCTGAGGATGGGAAGCATGTCCCTTATTGGAAGAACGATGAATACAAATTCCACTGGGGTATTAGAAATGTCAGCTCTTGGACAGAGATTGCACAATGTACTTCTCTATTCTGAGAAGGACCGTGTAAGAAACACATTAGAGCATTACTCCCTTATGTTAAAGTTCAAAGACATTCAGTTGCTTACTGAGATTGGCATCACATCCATGTTTAAGATCCTGAGTAAATATTTGCTGTTCTGTTTTGATGTCCACACATTCTATTAGTTTAGTCAAATGAACAAAGGAGTAACATAAAGGAAACAAAATTCTCCTGTAGGGACATGCTTCAGTGCAGCTGGAGATAAGCATAGTAAATGAACTAAACCCATCACACAAAGGCAAGGCAATGCCATGCATTCTTTCTACTTGGGGTTCCTAGATTTTATGTAGATACACAAATTATATATATATATAATATATATGATTATATATATGATATATCATATATATGAATTTCATATATATATATATATGTATATGTGTGCAGATGTATACTAGGAAGACAAAGGGACATATGAGAGGGAGAAGGAAAGAGGAAAAGAGCAATAGGTTCTATTTATATCTGTTATATCAATGGGGGAAAGCAGACTTCTTCATGGGACAAATATTCTGTCTATGTTAAATGCAGAAATATAACAACAATAAACTTTACAGGTCTTAACTATGGCTCTGCCTTTTAAAACCACTCGAGTATGTTGAAAGAATGTGAATAAACAGAGCTAAAAAGGTAATGAACCATGCCAGAGGCCAGCTGACTCCGTTGTTACACAGCAATTATATTCTCAAATACTGAGCACTGTTCTTTTCCGGCAACACAACCTTTGCAAGTGTATTCAAAAGCAAGTAGGGGAGGGAAGGGAATGGGAAACTTTTTGGCCATAATCTACAAAAAGGGAAACATTCATAACATTCATACTTTTTGGTTTTCTGAGATCTCCGCCCCCAGCCTTATTCATGATGAAATCTCCCTCCCCCGCCCTGTCTCCTTCTCTTTTTTCATGTACACATATTTCTTCTCAGTAAAGCTTCTACACATTTTTAGTGCACACACACACCCGGGGGGGGGG